ATTCATAGCTGTGCAAAACAAAAAGAAGGCTCCCCCATGTGTCCTGCTCCTGAGAGACCCACCAGGGTTGAATCTGTAGGGCTCACTGCAGATTTTTATGGGAGAGTGAATGACAGGATCCAGAATTCTAGAGGAGTATCGCCAGGGAGCAGTGACCTACAAAAACTGTCATAGGAAAATGAGGCTGATCCTACATAAATTGTAAACCGGGGACTTTTGGGACAGTATCTATTTTGATAATTTGAAATTAATCAATAAAAAGATATTTAGGTTTTTTCCTGCTTTTATTTTATATAAGTATTATTAACAGAGGTGAAATTTGTGCCTCTGGTTGAGCTATTATTTATGTGTGTTTAATCCTAACATGTTTTGGTTATAAAAGGGGTATGTGAGGGAGCTCTATTGTCCTGTGTGAAGATATCCCAGTTTATCACACCCAGCCTACAATGTCTTTTGAGACAGCCTCTGTGTACTCCAAAGGCATTCTTGTAATAAAATTGATGAATTAGCTCTAGCATGTTTGTATCAGCATCAGTGCCAGCCTCTTGATTTGTACAAACAGTGTAGGTTTTGCGTCCTTTCCACGAGCTGATTTAATTAATAACAATAAAAATGCCTTTAAAAAGCTGTAGGTGCTGTGACACTTAATTTTATAACAGCCTAATGCCAGCAGCACTAAAAAAAAACCCAAACAAAACAAACCCTATTCAACAGAAATTAATTAAAAAATTCAGCCAATGCTGTTCACCTTAGGCCTGGAAACCAGCCTTCAATCACTGCACAACTGCTGGCAATTGCAAGAGAATTAGTTGAGACGACTCCACGTAACCAGCTGTTCAGGGAAGTCTGGAAACGCAGGGGTAGAGTGTTGCTGTGAGGTGGGTTTTTTTTTACTTAAACCAAATTTGTGTGTTGAATGGGCTGAGTAAAGGACTGCACCTCCTTTGTTTCTGAATAGCAGTGATCTTCTGTGGGAAGAAATGTTACTTCTGGGTATGTTATGACCATGACTGATGGCCTCAATACCCGCTTCCCTGTTTTCTGAGCCTCTTGATCCTCCTGTTGCTGTATAATGTGCATGGATGGTGCGCACTAAATTTGAGACCGTCAGCCCCCCAGGTGGCTCAATCTTTTATCAGTGATTTATGTGTAAACTATTCAGGATACCTATGCTGGTTAAAGATAAGAAAGCTTCTGAAGTTTGTTTTCTCAGAGTATGTCTGACTTTGAGTGTTTGATCCAGCTGATGGAAGTGTTTATGCCAAGTTTGTATTGTGATTGCCATTGAGGTGTAAATCAGATCAAAAGCCTTGAAATGAAACTAACGGTACTTAAAAATATTCTAAACAGAGGCTACTTCAAAAAATATTTTTCACTGTTTCATAAAAACAAATAGTGTACAAGTATCTGTTGGAACTGGAGGTAGATCTTTTGGCTATTGGCTGTCTTTGTTTTTTATGTGGTGGAGCTATGATCAACATGGAACAGCATCTCAGCAGGTACTTCGCTTTGATCATTGTTAATGTTACACGTGTAATCTGAGAAGCAAGTTTTACATCAGATTCTCTGCTGCTCAGTACACTGTCTTTAAAATTCTTTTATATGGTCCTTTTTAGTTTACTATGACATTTAGGCTTTTCTGGGCCAGTGCATAATGCAGCCCTCCTCAGTTGCTGCTGCAACTACAGATACCAGCGTGTAGTTTTTCAGCCATTAAAACAGTATCACAGTATCACAGTATGTTAGAGATTGGAAGGGACCTCAAAAGATCATCTAGTCCAATCCCCCTGCCGGAGCAGGAACACCTAGATAAGGTTACACAGGAACGTGTCCAGGTGGGCTTTGAATGTCTCCAAAGAAGGAGATTCCACAACCTCCCTGGGCAGCCTGTTCCAGTGTTCTGTCACCCTCACTGAGAAGAAGTTTCTTCTCAGGTTTAAGTGGAACCTCTTGTGTTCCAATTTATACCCATTTCCCCTTGTCCTTTCATTGTTTGCCACTGAGAAGAGCCTGGCTCCATCCTTGTGACACTCCCCCTTTATATATTTATATACACTAATAAGGTCACCCCTCAATCTCCTCTTCTCCAAACTATAGAGACCCAAAAACAGTAATATGTGACAGCTAAAAAATTTTGTTATTTCTTTTGGATTGAACTAGTCTTGCTGCCAACTGAACCTCAATGTCCTGAAGTGATCCTTGAGTTTTATGTGGTAGAGACTAGTTGAGAGACTGAAGTTTTAAAAAGGTTCTTCTATATAACAATAGTTCTCTTTGAAGCTTCTTGCACTACACAGGAGCAAGATGAATGGTATTCAACATTGTACTTTTTCTACATGTAAAGCATAAAAGACACTTAACAAGTTTTAAAAAATGTGCTTTTCTCCAAGACATTTGAATTTTTTTGATGGAAGTTGCATTTTTACCTTCCTTCCACATCCCATCATTCTGCCTCTCCTCCCAGTCAAGTGTTAATGAGGAATTCAGTCAAAAAGAAAAAGGCAGCAATGAGGATAAACAGAGCTCCCAGGCTCCTCATTCAGCTCAGCAGGGCACTAGACCTCAGCTATTCTTCATTTCACAGTGAAGATGATCAGTTCTGGGTGACCACTTTCAAAGGGCAGAGAGTTTTTGAAGGTGCTCGGCAGGATGATGAATTGTTGTGTCTGTCATCCTGGGTCCTGCGGAAATGCAGCGGGGGTCTCTTCTGCAGGAGCTTGTAAAGGAAAAGGTTGATGGTGACACTTGGCTGTCTGGATGCCACCTGGGTAGGTGAAATCTCTTCAAGAGTCTGCTAAATAGTATCCGAATTCCCATTTTTTCTAAGAACAGATGGGAGAATCGATTACTGAAACAACCTCTAAAGAGGAATCCTAATGAGATCTTAAAGATGTCTTGATGGCTTCTCTTTAAAATCTTTGCTCTGTTTTTGAGTACTTCAGTAACGCTCTACCTGGCTGTACTCCTAGCACAGGTTAGGAAGCCTGGGAAGGTGTGTATTTCTGCTTTGCTTGAGATGCATGCTGTAATTTGTCCTAACAAGTCCCCATAACTTGATTTTAGTGTATTCAAACCACTTGGTACTTCTGAAGTGTACCTATCTTCCTGGTTGAGCTTAGTGTTTTTAAATGCATCTTCCCCTTGCGTCTTTTGTTTTTACCAGTTTTTAAGAGATTGCAGTTGTTTCCATATAATTTGCTTACTCATTTTCTGAATTTTCAGTATTAAAATCCCATATTCTCTTTTATCACATACTTAAGGTTATTTTGTGTGTTTGTGTTCATCTCCTCCTATGGGAACAACTGATGTCATCTGTTATTAAAGTGATAGTGTAAAGTGAAAAAAAGAACTTCAAAGCAGATGAGAATTTTACCCTAGTTAAAAAATAAATCACAGTTTTTGGATGTTTTATGATTTTTATCATCTACTTGTGATGTTAAAGTCTATTTGAAAAATGGGAGTGGGCTCCTCTTGCCTATTCTGCCACTAGTGTTAAACACATCGAAGAAATACTTTAAATTTAAGAGCCCCTTTTGTTTTACAGCTATATTTAGGTTTTGGTAAAACAGTAGCTTAAAAATGAACATACATAGACATGTAAACCCTACCAGGCAGTAGTTAATTTAAAGCTGATGGTGGTAACTACAGCACAAAAAGATTGTTCACTTAAAAGAATATGAAAAGATTTTATAAAATGTATTATTATGAAATGACTGTGCTGTGCTTATGGAAACCTCAGATCAAGAGCTGTTGAGGTTGTATTGCTGGTGCAGAGACTGCAGAGGGAGCCAAGGATCCGATGTGAACAAAAGTCCTATTTGTGGTGAAATGCCAGGGATTTGTGTTCCTGTTTATTTCATGAGAGAGGCTACGTCAAATCCCAGATAAAATGAGAAAGAAAGAGCAGAGCTTACTTTGAGGAGGGATAATATTGCAGTGTTTTAGGGCAAGGAAAAAAATAAACAAGATCAGCACAGTTATATAACATCTAAACCTTCTGAAAATCTTAATAGAAGGAAATAGGCTCATGATAATAGAAGAATGTCCTAATGCCTACATCAGTGCTGGGGTTAAGTTTAGCTAGACCCAGCAGAGCTCATACGTACTAATAGCAAATGCTAGCACCTTGCATATCATCATTGTCTAGAAGGGATTTGTTGCAAGTATCAGCACAAGGGAGTAGACTGCAAAGAAGCAGTGCAGCCATCCTGGGGTTTTGTGCACCTAGCCACCTATGGGTACCCTGTGCCAGCCCCACTTACAGAAAGCTCAAGGCCCCTTTTGAACTGATTTCTTTGTAGTAATTTTTCACCTGGATCAAGGCCAGATGTGGCCAGAGAAGAGGAAATAGGGAGACCCTTCAAGGTGGCACAGTGACCTCCTAAGAATGCCAGAACAAGCTTTCAAGCAAACACGTAGAAGTGGAAGTTGTTAGTCACAGGCACTGTTAACAGTCAGTGTTCTTTCACAGTACATCTCCTCTTGGAACCTGGAACAAACACGTTTCCCGTTTCTTTGCTGGGTCCTGTCTTTGCTTTGATTGCTCTGCTTCATTACAGCCTGCTTATCCAGAAATAAATGTTAGTTTCTGTGGCCTCATGCTGGCTGTTTTAATGAGTCTTTATTATATACTGAAAACACGTTCAATATGCTGAATCCTGCTATTAAATCTAACTCTACAGCTATGAAGGTGTGATTTTATTACAGATAAAAATGTGGTGTTTATCCTACTCCCACTAATTTTTGTTACAAAGTTCTGTTTCAGGCTATCAGAAGCAAGACGGGGAAATAGTGGCTGATTCTGGGAAAAATTCAGGGAAATTCTTAGGCCTGGAGAAAGGACAGGCTTCCAGGCATCCGGCCTGCTCATCCAGCTGCTGACAGTAGTGGACAAGTTTTGAAACAAACTTGCAGGAGGATCAAGTTACCTGGCTATCTGCTGAAGTCTGAAAATCCTTACTTTTTACTTGAGTCTCATTATTCCTTTTCTCTTTGTATAGATCCTAGAAGAAAGTATCATGTAAGGCTGCTGGCATATAACAGTATGGAAGAAGGTTATCAGGCAGACCAAACAGTCAGCACTCCAGGATGTGTCTGTAAGTGTTCTAGGTGCATGAAGAATTTATTAGGAGCTGAGATGTTTCATGGTCCAGCAGCTCTGTGTTTTTAACCTATAAATAATCAATTAATTCAGTGTAAAACAGAGAACCAGAAAGATTGTATCTGTGACAAGTACTATCCTAGTCATCCCACAACTGAGACAATCTCCAGTGCTCATGAACTGCAGCTGAGGAAACAAGATAGCTACCAAAGGTTTTCTTCCACTACTAGATTGCCTGCATCACATAACCAGTGACGTATCATGTGTCTTATGAGAGATTTATCTTTCTCCTTTTTCTCTATTTATAGTTTTGACTTTGCTCTTGACTAAACAAGTGGGACTAGAGAAGTAGTAAGTGACATGTATTGGGTTGAAAGCTTGAACTAGATTCCTGGGTCTGAATACCAGATAATGCTGGGTAGGGGCAGAATTTAATCTTAAACCTTTGGCTTAAAGACAGGCTCAGGCCTGTTTTTGAATCATACCACTATCTGTATACAGTTCAATAAATAATTAATGCTCCTTTTTGTTCTGAACAGCTGTCCGTGATCGCATGGTGCCACCACCACCACCTCCTCACCACCTCTATGCCAAAGCTAACACTTCATCTTCTATCTACCTTCACTGGGGAAAGCCTGCCTTTACATCTGCACAAGTCATTAACTACACGATCCGCTGCAACCCTGTGGGGCTGCAGAATGCTTCTCTGGTTCTCTACCTTCAAACGTAAGTGCAGTGCTGCTAATGAGTCTAGGTTTCCCATTTCCAGATCCTTTTCACTCAGATCCTACTCTTCCTGCTCTTAGTTGCCTTTTACTATAACAACTTTTATCTCCCTTAGAGGACAGTGTGTTTTGGCCAGTGGCTGCTAGTTTTGTTTCTTGTTTTTTTTAAGATGTGTTCATAGAACAGCTTTGTTCTCCATCTGTGGTGCTTGTGTTGGATCCCTGGACAAGTTCTTGAATGGCTGTTTAGCTAAGTTGAATTTAGTTTTAAAGTCTTTTTCAACCAAACAAAAGAGAATAGGTAGCTTGTCTGGGCAAAGTGACTTCATTCAGTGTCTGATTTTAATAGACTGGAAACAAGAATTTTTGAGATTTGAGAGCTTGAGCATGTTACTGTGGGAATGCCTCATTCCTGAGTGTGTGGCAACCTGCCAGGAGAAAGCTGAGCGGGAACTAGAGCTCTTTCAGAGAAGCAACACATGAGGCATAGAATGGCAGAACAGAGAAGAATTTCTGGCTAGGCCTGGTGTCCTGCTCTGCTCAGGTGGTGTGGGCACAGAAGACACTGCTCCATTGTGACCACCTATGATGGGGGCAGTGGTGCTGTTGAGGGAATCCATGTAGCTCCCTCAATACATGGCTTTACTCAAGACTTCTAAATAAGAAAAACGCTGTCCTGAAAGATAGTTTCCATCCTAATATCAGTGGTTTTCTCTTCAAAGAGCACATCCCCTGCTGTATAACTGCTGACTTAAGGATCTGACACAGTATAATCACCATGTAAAATTCTTAGTGTGCAGTATGGATTATGGCAACGAATGCTGCTTTTTGTGATAGGATGAGGCTATTGCAAATACTGGTGACTGCCTTTGCAGTATGAAAGATGAAAATACTAAGTGAGATTTGATAAAGCAATATCTGTAGAGTAACACCATTTTAAATTGAGATTTACTCTTGACTGGGTGTTACCTGCCGGGTCTATCCCACCCCAGAGTCAGAATAAAGCAGAATGTCAACAACTGACTTTGTGATCAAATAGTAAACAACAATATTACAGTTAACATAATCAATTTTACAATTAGTATATTACCAAATGCAACTACAAGATGAATAGGGAACATTCATATTCTACAGAGATCACCAAAACATGAGGTGATAGAGGCTGTAAGTGGAAGGGGAAGTTGAACGCATAGACACTGTCTATTCTGTGAACTGAGAAGCAGATCCAGGAATAGTTGATGGAGCCAACATCGTGTGCTTTTTCAGCCTGTGGCGCTGGTTGTAGTGTGTTACTCCAGCTTGAAGCATACAGTCCTATGGACAAATACAGAAAGAGCTGAGTTTGGGATACTTACCGGTGTTCTGGGCAGTAATATTCTTACACTTGCTCATGCATCAGGTGTCCAAACAACCTTTAGCTTAAGTTAACTGACAGCACACAGAGCATCTGCAGGAGAGCTCCAGGTTAGTACCATCACATTTTCAGGTGGACAGTGCAGGTGCACCATGTGTCTGGACTTGCACTGGTTTGTCTTGTGTGGAACTGACATTGGGAATCTACTCACAGTGACTAAGAGATATCAGCTGAGTTTGGGATCTTGAAGTCAACTGCTGCAGTTAAATGTATTTTATTCCTTCATCTGTACAGGTCAGAGACTCACATGTTAGTTCAAGGTCTTGAGCCAAAAACCATGTATGAATTTGCAGTTCGGCTCCATGTGGACCAGCTCTCTAGCCCCTGGAGTCCAGTAGTCTACCATACTACCCTTCCAGAAGGTAAGGCACTAGCAAAGGACCACATAGCTCTAAAAAGAAAGCTCAATAAACCAAATGGCATGAAAAATTGCTTACTAATTTCAGCTATCTGTAGGAGAGAGAAATACTTTCCTCTTGAGATACAGATATTGCTCTTCTTGGTGAGAGATAGAAAAGTGCTGTCAGGAAAATCCTTGTTTTGGAACTGGGAGATTACTTTTCAAGAATTACCTAAAATCAGCAATGACTTTGATATAAAATTAGCAACCACTGAAAGGAAATAACTTGGATCAAAACCTTAAAATCTGTATTGAAGAGGCATGGCTGTTTCCTAGGCACTATGGAAACATATTTTAAACCCCAGACTTCTAGAAACTGTTAACCATATTACACGTCTACTGCCCTGGCTGCTGGTTTGCTGTTCTGTCAGCTTGGTGAGTGGAAATCAAAAACTGGAGGTCCATGTTCTCAGCATTGCAGTGTTTGGGACATACCTGTTCAGAGGGTAATGATGTGGGGGTTCTGTCAGTAACTGTTTCCTTCCGGAGTTGGAGGAAAAATACTAAATTTGCTTTTACAGGATTTGAGCTATCGATCAGATTGGAGTTAACAGGAGAGTTTCTCTTAAGGAGCAGTATGTGTTTGTATGTGTATCTGGGATGTAGCAGTAGCCATTAGGTCTGTGCATCAGTTTCTTTCTGAGCAATTTAATTGCATGTAAATTAGGTTAGCCTAATAGCATTGTGTTACTGTTCTCACAGCACCATCTGGCCCTCCAGTAGGAGTGAAGGTGACTTTGATAGAGGATAATACTGCTTTGGTTTCCTGGAAGCCACCTGATGGTCCTGAAACAGTTGTTACACGATACACTATCCTGTATGCATCCAGGAAGTCTTGGATTGCTGGGGAATGGCAAGTGTTGCACAGAGAAGGTAAACTAAAATCATAAATCTGTGGACTGGATAAACAATAAGGCTGCTTATAAGATGCTTTGTTACTTTCAGCTCCCTTGGACTACACCAAAAAATTCATTTGAATGTTCATGTGATAAGTTACAAGAAAATTATAATTAGTTTAGAATTATTCCTATGGTTGCAATGAAAACGTATTAAAGAACAAATAATGCTGAGAAGGTGAGGGGAGAGCAGCTCTCTGTGTTGCTTTGGAGCTCAGTGTGTGCATGTGAACCAAAATGTCTCATAAATCCAATTACATCCATCTTAGCTCTGTTGTAACCAGGATTGTGATGGTTTCATTTTGTAAATGCACTTTTTCAGGTCTCTGAAGTCTCTGAGATGCCTTGCTTTCCAGAAATAACTTTATAAATGTGGCTGCATGGGATTAGATGTTTCTTTCAATCACTGCCAATCCAGTTAGCTCAGTTCACTTAATGAACTTTCCCCTACTCCCAGTAAATTGCTCTGCAAATTCAATTTAACTCTCTGGCTCTATTCTGCTGCTGAGCCCTGGCTAGCTAATCTGACAGGAACTCAGGTATGGGGATGTGAACTTCAGTTGCATCCTTGTGATTAGATATTGTATACATTTTTATAGGGATTTTCCAGGATAATACTATGATTTGAAGAGCTGCATTGAGAACAGATTTCTACTATAGCCAGAGAAAAAGAAAAAGCCATTTACTGTTCGGTTGGTATTCCAAATAGATAGAGGCAGTTCAGAATATATAAAGTTCTAATTATATATTAAACCAGAGAGGGAAGCTCAGTGTTATAGAATAAAGTTATGTGCTTGAGTAGCTTATTTAAGAGGATTGCCCAGGAAAACTTGCTATTTTGTTGTTCTGTGCTGTTTGATGGCTGAAAGCTTCGTTGTCAGCAGAGTGAGGCTTGAAATTTTCCATGGAGAAAATTCATAAAGAAATGAGTGCACTTAGAGGACAGTTGGTTTTGCCATCAGTGAGAGGAACTGTTTTAGTTCAAAGATGGTGGTTGTCCTTTGTGCTGCTCCTGAAGAGAGGATGAAGGACCAACAGCCATTCTGAAAGGTGGCAGTGCTGCTTTGTCTTTGCTGGAGCAGAATGGTATTTGTTGGGCTGGCCTCAAGTAGGATGGTCAGCTGTGAAGAGTGACAGTAAAATGACCATTACTGGCAAGCAAAAACTGTGAACAATAACTAGTCTCTGAGTATCAATGAGGCCTAAATATAGGGGGAAGATTGAGCCCATGGTTTTTCACTTAAAATTGCTCAAAGAAATAGTAATACAAAGTTGTCCCATTAAATTGTGGAAGGAAACAGTGATGTAAAGTTGTCATATTAAGGGACCAGCTTAATACTAATTTTTACTCACTGAAAACCCCAGCAGATGTAAATTCACAGAGAGCTTATATGTGAAGAGTGTATCTTGTCATTCTGGTGATGTCTGTTGTATGCAACAAAGTGACTGAATTGCTTTCAGATACGTACTTCAGCTCAGCCATGGCTGTAAAACTGAGCAGCATCTCAGTGTTTTATCACAGGTATTTCAGATGAGGGGATGTGAATAACAGTAAACATTTTCATGTGTTCCCATACTGAAAGTGTTGTCAGGAATGAGCAAATGGAGAGCTATAAATCTCAGTGTATTACTATGTCCATCAATGCTAGAGTCACTGGTTTTGTATTTTGACAGCTATATGAGGGTTTGAGGCATGGCATTGGAGTTAAGGCATTGTGACACATGAGGACAATCTATAGTGCTCTTAATTAAAGTACAGATGAAAAAGTCTGAACGGAAGTTAGCATGTCAAGGTAAAATTGGGCAAATACTGTGATAAACTCATGAAAGTCCTTTCACAGGATATTTGAGATAGACACAGGGTTTGGGTTTTTAACGCATTTATTGTGATAAGATCAGCTACCCTATGCACTAATAAAGAGCATTGTTTTGTCTTGACACTAAACTTGTTCTGCAGAGGATTTGTGAAATCTTAACCCCATTCTTTTCCCATATCTCCAAAGACAGCCCCCAAATAAAAAAAGCAAACAGCCCCTCCAAACCAAGCGAAAACTCCACAATATCAACCCTACCACCTATAAAAGGCATAGCACAGGCTTTAGTTTATGCATGCAAATTTCTACCAGTTCACCAACTTAAAAACCAAAACTCTCTAATTTGACTGGGCTTATCTTAGGCACGGCAGTGTTAGAAAATATACTGCGGTTTGTTGCTGATCTGTGATCTGAGTTACCTTCCAGCCACCTTCCCCCTTTTCACCAGTTCCCTTTGAGTGGATCAGAAGTTACAGCCTTTGCACACTTGGTGTGCAGTAAATCAGTACAAATGCAGCAGATTTGAAAGGAGCTGGTGGGAAAGAGCCTGCAATATTGAAATGTGACCTTTCGCCCTTGCTGGTGCTAAATATTACAGCTCCTTTGGTTACAGATACCTCACATTTTACTTCAGATGCTTTCAGCTAATGGGTGGTGTTTATGGAAGAGCTGAAATACCTTTTGAAGTAGCTTCCCTTTTACCAAATGTATAATCTTTCCTGTCAGCAAAATAACCTTGTATTTTATACACTCCTAATGCTACTGTAAATTCTGACTTCTGAAACTGATTTGAAAGGTTGACATTTAGACTCAAGCCTGAGAAAGTGAATGGAATATGTGAAAGAGAACAAGGAACAGATTTTTACTTGTAACTGCCACTGCTTAGGGAAAGAAAAGCAGTATATTTCTATGGTAGAAAGAAACAAGCATTTTAGAAATGAATTGGAATTTTAAGCAGTAGTCTGCAGTGCCCAGACAGGCAGAGCTCTTATTGACTTTGATAGGAGTTTTGCCTATCTAAGGACAATGCAAGTGAATCCTATTGATGTTCTTAATCTGTTTTTCTGCCTTCAGGGACTTTAGGAAATGAATCCTTAACATGTGAGAAAGACATTTTCTGCAGTATTTTTAGTAGCACAGCTTAGATGCACAGTAATCAAGGAAGCCTATGCAGGTCTAAATAAGGTTTAATTTTCTTTTTAAAGTATGGTTATAATGTACTCTTCCAAATCTGTCCTGTTCATTTAACAAACTAGACTTGAAATTTGATAAACTGAACGTGAATTGTTTTGTTACGCAGTTTCAATTCACGTTCAGGCACATCGATTAGTATGGGGGGGATGTCTAATGTTCTGCTTTCTTTGCCTGAGTCTGGTTACTAGCTGGAGCATCCTCACAGATAGGATCACAACATAAATGCTATCACATTGAAATGCAGAGCATGCTGGATCTAGGATTAGTATGCTGTGTATCATAGCCAGTACTTGACTCTGGGGTTGAACTTTACTGGCTGCAGTGTGCTGTGGTCAAGTAGTAGGGAGAGAAGGGACAGAAGGGACCAGCAGGCAACCCCAGTGTTCATTCTGTACCCTGTGTATGCAGGTTAGAATATGACAGCAATCACAGTCCTCAAACAAGATTCAGAGGTGGTATTGGAAAGAAAGCGTAGGTCCCAATGTCTAAATCTGAGTCTGTTCCCACAGATGTTGTCTAACTGGAACTCTTTCTCAAATCTTTTCACAGGAGCAATGACCATGGCTTTGCTGGAAAACCTTGTAGCAGGAAACGTCTACTTGGTCAAAATAGCAGCCTCCAATGAAGTGGGAGAAGGACCCTTCTCAAATGCGGTAGAACTTGCTGTCCTCCCAAAGGAGACACCAGAGTCTAATCAGAGACCTAAACGCCTGGACTCGGGAGATTCCATAAGTCAGTAGCAATGTTTTGACCACTGTTGTCACAAGTAGTAGGAAAAAAGATCCCGGTTTGTTTTAGCTTGTAACCGCTGTCAGGGTATACCATTCTGTCCTAACACCATAGCATTTTATTGTAAATGAAACTATTTGGGAATTTTTATTTCAGTTCAACTCAGAGATGGTTTAGTTATTTTGCTCAGAAGTTGTAAGCTTACCTTTCAAATGACAACACATAACTGTTCTGCATTTCACATCAATTTTGCAGCCACTCTTCTAAGGCACTTCCTTTAAATCCTTTATTTAAATACCAGTAGCACTGGTGAAATTAGAACCAAAAAGCCCAGCAGAGATAAGATGGCATCTCAAATATGTCTGTTGAAATTTGCTGGTTCCTGGTATTTCAGCAACCCAAATCACCCCTGTCAGTCAGTTAGGGTGGTGAGGCACTGGAATAGGTTGCCCAGGGAGGTTGCGAATGCTCCATCCCTGGCAGTGTTCAAGGCCAGGTTGGATGAGGCCTTGGGTAATATGGTTTAAAGCGAGGTGTCCCTGCCCATGGCAGGGGGGTTGGAACTTGATGATCTTAAGGTCCTTTCCAACCCTAACTATTCTATGATTCTATGATATAGCAGCATATACTTTCACCAAAGAAGTCAGCCCCACCTGCAGCTCTTTGCTAAGAACTTTTTTTACCTTGTGGAAATTAAGGTAACATCAGTGGTTTCTCCAAATAAGAATGGAGTAACACATTGTCTTTGTCTGATACAGCAGGGTTTACCTTAGTGGCTTATTACAGATCTTAAAGTGGTCTGGGGAGGCCAGAGCTAGCAGCTCTTCAGGTACATGAACCTTTTAACCTGTTCTTGTTACACATTGAATTCTGATCAAAACACAGGGATTTTTCTTGCTCAGGTTTTCTTCCTTCCTGGAATTCAGTTAGTTTTTAGGCCTAAGCAAATAGAGTCATGTCCTCAGGATTAGATTAATAGACATATAATGTCAAAACATAAACTAAACTTGAGCACTCCTGGGCAACAATGACTCTCTCCTAGGAGCCTTTTCCCTTTGTTATCTAGTAGCACCCTGCAAGGAAGGGGTTGAAGAGAGCTCCTCTGCTCCATGTTGTAGGTCACCAAAGAGGCTGTGGCATGTGGACCTGCTTCACCTCCCACACCAGAACTGTGTATACTCTGTTTGGTCTATAAGTTTTGTTTTCAAAAGTGTCAAACTGTATTACAGAGAAGGTCTGGAATCTCATTAAAAGGAAGCATTTGTCTCTGTGGTTGTGACTGTAACCCTGTTAATATGCTGACAGGGAGGAGGGGGCAACTCTTCTTATTTATTGAGCTTTTCTATGTTCTTTTTTTATAGCTTATTCTGACTATTACCATCTGGACCAGAAATCAATGACTGGAATTGTTGTGGGGGTTTGCATAGCTTTGACCTGCATCCTTATCTGCATCCTGATCTTAATTTATCGCAGTAAAGCCAGGTATGTTTTTGCTCTTGAAGACTGAGCCCTTTCTCAAGGCACTGCTTCTTGGGATGTGCCTTCATCTCCAAGAGTGCTAAGTTCTCTGAAGTACTCTGTCTCTTCACCTATTCCTACCAGCAGTGGAAACAAAGCACTTTGTTGGCTCTTCCTACTCTACCTGAGCCCATTCTCCAATGAAGAGGAGGAAGAACCCACAGAGTGAGTCAGTGGTGCTTTGACAACTAAGTATGAGGCATGTTTCCAAATAAAAAAAAACCCTTCTGTGTCAGACAAGCATGCTGCTTTACATCATCTGCTCTTCCTGCTTAACCCTCCAGCCTGCTCAGACCTGGTTTGCGAGGCTTTAATCCTCTAGTGTTGCTGGACAAAACAAATTGACATAAAGCAGTGCCATGATGCAGTTTCTTTGCACTGGGGCAAGCCACCATCTGTCTTGTCATCAGCTGCTATGGGGCATAAACTGGCCCAGTGACTTCCTGTAACTTTGGGCTCAGAACAAAGATAAGTTACTTGAAATAGCAAACTTTAAAACTGTCTGAAAGTATATTTTAGTAACAAGGGCTTTTTAGCACATATGCAGGAGCAAATACGGATTGGAAGACAGTCTCTGTGTAGCATGGCAGAAAGGCCTTAATATTATTAGTGGTTACTTCCTTCAAGTAATATTACTAATCATGACAATTCCTGTCTGCACATAAGCTCATAGCCTACTGTGTATGATTAACTGGAAGCAGATGTTATTTTTATCACAAGCAATAACATTTAAATTCCATGAGAGTTGGAAGTGTCGTGTAACAAAATGTAAATGTCAAGAATATTACCAGTATTACTTGATTAATAATAGCTTTGAAGTTTACCCTTGATTTTTTGTATTTTCTTCCTGTGGGTCAATTTTATTCTTCTTAACATTGTGTAGGAAAACATCTGCTCCTAAACCTGCGCAGCAAAGCACTGACCAGCTGTCACATACCAGCGTCTCATTAGCCAGTGCTAATGAGGTGGAGAAGAGTACTGAAGGAATTGCAGAGAACGAAGAATCCCTATTGCCAATGATAGTGGGAAACAGCTTTATCGATGCTAAGGTAATGTGAGCCTTACTTGTTCCCAGACCAGAGATCTTTCTTCTGAATTCATTGCTATAACATTGGAGTGCTTATCAAAAGTGAAATATGTACACTACAAATCCAGTGGAAGTTTTTCTAATGGGGCAGCACAACTTTGGCAATCCAGGATCAAATTTTCAAGCCTTAATTTGAAAGTTCAGCTAAGGATCTGATTCAGTACAGGTTTCACTCTGTGTTCTGCAGATTGCAGTTTGTCTTAGAAATGTCATTTGTGAAAATAAATGTGTTTGTCTCCCTCTGTTGTAGGGGGGATCTGATCTGATTATTAACAGCTATGGGCCTGTCACAAAGGCTAACTGCAAGAAGAGGTGGCTGTTCTTCCAGGATACCAAGAAGGTGAAGACCGAGGAGGTAATTGCTCTAATGGGCAAGGATGTGCAATCTTTAATACCCTTGGTTTGTAAAGGAAGACGTAGTTTTCCATTTATGGAAAAGCATAATTAGTGGTCTAAGTTTTAATTGGGTGTGTTAACGCTAACGGTGTTCTGCCTTGTAGTAAAGCCTTATGGAAGTTTCATTTTCTGTCCCAAGTTGTCAGATAATTATTAGTTGATTGCTTTCTTGCCTGTGCCCTTCCATCTGTGAGCAAAAGGATTTCTGTGTACTGGTCTGTGCATAACATCTACAGTACTAAATATGCAGTGATTTTGTATAAATACAAATTCATAATAGTATATAAAGAATGCTACCCTGACAGCTAAAACTTTGTTTGCTGAAGAGAACCAAAAGAGGGAAATTAAATTATTTACCCAAAATACTGAAGAAATTGAGAATCTGTGTAGAACTGTCTGGCTTCTCAGATGGTTACTGTGGAGACGTTTGCTATTTGGATGAGAAAAATAACTGTTTAAAGCTAAAATGTTAAATCCAGAACATTATCATGCAAATTCACACCTATGGAGCATCTAAGTAATGTTTCTTGGATTGCAACCTGTATTGTGCTCTTGTATATTTAAGGAAGTCTTGATACACATATTGTAAATCAGTATTCCAAAATATTTCCAGAAGTAGCTGCATATTTCTGATGCCTCTATAAAAAAAGTATTTGTTACCACTCAAGGAGTAATGCTTAAAGAATATGCATGAAGGGACGGGAGAGAGCTCTGCCAAGTATGTTTTTTAAATGCCATCAGGTCTCTCCAGTGGAATCATTCTTGATTAGCCATGCTTAGCTAGAAGGGATTACTTCATCTATTATGGAAGAGAAAAGTATGAGCAAGACTTGAGATTGATTCTTTTTAACCTCCTGTAGAAAGGCCCAAATTGTTTCAAGCCAACACTGTTAGAGGTTCTCTTGAGGAATAGGAGATAGGAAATGCAGTAAAAAATCAAATTCTAGCTCAGCTTTTCACAGCCTGAACAACCTTTTTCTCTCTGCTTTTTACGCAGCCTCAGAGAAGATTTGCCCAGGCAGTGTGTCTGTACCAGCCAGGCACCACGGTGCTGATCAGTGAGGATGACTCCCCCAGCTCTCCTGGCCAGCAGTCTAATTTCCAGGTGTCATTCAGTATTGCTGCTGATACAGAGCATTCCGCCAACAGCGAAGGCAGCCACGAGACCGGTGACTCTGGAAGGTTTTCTCATGAGTCCAACGATGAGATACACCACTCCTCTGTGATAAGTGCCACCCCTCCCACTACCAGTCCTTTTGCAAGCAGTGACTTGGGTGTGAATGTGATGAGCTCTGATATAAGTAACTGCACAGAGTCTCCTCTGCTGTTTGCGGCTGACCAGACTCCTACCTCACCTCTTCAGATGTGCTCTGCGGTGCAAAACTGACATCCTTAGGGCCAGGCCAGACATTCATGCAGTGTATGTCTGTTCGAAGGACAATGAACAGGGAGCCAAAGTTTTATCGTGGAAAGCCTGGCTAACCTACCAGGTGATCCCAGGTTTCTGTTGAATGTTTTTTTTGTTTCTGGGTTTTTTTTCTTGTTTTGATTTGCTTTTAAAACTCACTCGTTTTGAATGTTCAGTGGTCAACAAATGTGAAAGGACAGTGAAAATTTCTGACTAACGTTAAAAATATGTCACTGGAGCAAAGGGAAGGCTGTTGGCCCTTTTGCTGACTATCTACCTCAGTTTGCCGAGAGGTGAACTCTGAACGATGACTGCTTTACCTCATGTGTGTTCTAGTTGGTCTCAGCTATGAAACTGATGATACTTCCTAGTAGAATTGTTTTATTTTGGGTTTGGTTTTGTCTGTTGGGTTGTTTTCCCTTCCCCAGTTGTGTGTAGAATGTATGCGTGTGTGCACGTGTGCGCTCAGTGATCAGGGAGTTGTATAGGTAGGCGAACAAGATTGTTTAGCTGAAGCTCTGTCTTTAAAAAGAAGGAAACCTCAGAGTATAAAATGTAATGATTTAATGTGGTTGACACAGAGGATGTTAAAAGCTGGGAAAACTGGAGTTGGTGCTTCCACGTATACAGCCACAGGAAATCTTTTGTACCTCTTGATTCTTCATGACCCCAGTAAGCCTAGGACAGTGCCTTTTCCTCAGAAACTTGTGCCAGTGACTGCTGCCAGGGTATATACTATATCCTTAGGGCTCTGGGACGTTTTGGGTTCCCCACAGTGACAATTGCTTCCCCTTTAATGACAGTTAATGCTAAAAAGCATGGCAAAATGAAGAAGTATTCAGCATTTCAAAACAGTTTGGCTCTGCATGAGAGTCATGGAATAGATGATAATGCTGAGTATTCCAGTATCACAGTACTTCTTAGCAATGGTGCCTTGCATTATATATTAGAAATTACTGATTTGCCTTATGCCTTTTTAGAATTCGTAAATTTGCTTTTGAGTACAGAAAGATGCCTTAAACACTTCTTACATGTTTTAAGTAAACTGTGTCATGAATTTTATACTTCATTTTTACCCAGCTTCAAGTGCTGATGAGCACTGCTAGCATCGTGGTATGTCTCAGAGCTTTGTTAGGATGCAACCCTGCTCCTTGCCTTCACCTAGTGTGCTGTTAGCTCAGGGAGTGACTTTACCCACATGCTGATCTAAAACTCTGATCAGGCTACCATAAGAAATAAAAAGGCTAGAGCTTTAGTTGAAGAGTCTGTTGAAAGAGGCAAGTACTGCCTTGAACCCATGCAATTCCTGTTTTATACTACCTCCTTTGAAAGTTATTCCAGTGTTTTTTGGGGTTTTTTGTTGTTGTTTTTTCCTGTACTCAGGGAAGAGTTTGTTACTTTTGAGCTGCCTCCCAGAAACGTGGAGCAAACTGACAGGGTATCATGTTTTGTTTTGTTTTTTAATAGGAAAGAGAGAGGGAGAGAGAGGGAGGAGGCTGGAACCATCCAATGTTACAACCTTGCCTGCATCTATATCCAGTATCGAGTCTCCTTCTCCACTCCTCCCCTTTCCCTGTTTTACTAAAAAAAAAAAAAAAAAAAAAAAAAAAAGAAAAAAGAAAAAAAAAGAAAACCCCCAGGCATATGTTTTTACTGAAAAAAATGTTTAAATTGTAACGTTGTGAGAAGCAACCATAGGAACTCCTATAGGGCTCCATTTAAGTATTTTTTTTTAACTCCCATTGACTTTACTGGGGCCAAGACATCACCCTCTAGGTAGGGCAGGCTGACTTCTGTTTTGTTCCTCATGTATCAAAAGGTGCTCACAAGTTCGCAATAAGCCCTAATGTTCTGTCTGGCTTGTGCTGAGGAATTGGTTCTGGTTACTGTAGTTCTGTGCCTTGTAACTGCTAGTTCTGAATCAGACAGGGCACGCTCACCTTTTTGTAACATTGTTGATTCAGATGCTTTAAAAATCATCTTGAACCAAAGACTTTTCTGCAGGGAGAAGGAAGCCACATACTGTCCAAAAATTACTGAACTAGGCAAAAGCAATAGGTTTGAAGAGCTGAATACATTTTATTGTATAAGTAGTTACTAACAAAAAACAATAGGGCTTCTTGATTGTAGTTGGTTGCATAGATGAGTTGTATGCTTCTACAATTCTAAGTACCTTGTTGTTACAAGAGCCTTTAAAGAAATCTATAATACCAGCAGGTATCTCCAAAGACTTCCAAGTGTAATTTTTTTCTCCAGCACGTAGTTGATCAACATTACAGTATTAAACAAATTATTTTTGAACAGTTTTTTATCTACTTGCTGAAGAAAAAGAAAACCTTTTCACCAAAGATTTATTTTTGGTCTCGTCAGGCAGAATGTTTAGTGTACAGCAGAGTACTGTTTCTAGTTAGGTAAAGTGTGAATTAATCAGAACTAGGTTAAGAATGTGTAACTGTAGCATAAAGTTTCACACTTCATCTTTCAGAGTAGCCTCTTTCACTAGTTTCAGTCAGAAAGAGCCGATATGCAGAGATGGTAACTGCTTCTCCAAAGACTTGTTTGCTGTAAGTACTGATAATCAGATACAATTTTATGACCATCATTACAGGTAAATACTTTAAATCCTAAACTTTTTCTTCCAGACACCCACTCTAGTTTAACCCATGGATAATTTGAGAGAAATAGACTCCATATAAAATCTGTCAACCTAATATAGATGCTCTTACTTCAATAGCTTAAGAGTTGAAAATATCCAGTGTATTACAGCTCAGTGCATCCAGAACTTAAGGTTTTATTAAAGTACTTTTAATCAGCAAATAAAGAAAACCAAAGATATTTAAGGTTACCTCAGCATATAGGCAAGCTTAGTTAGACATTAATTATTCTTTTTCTTTACTTTTATGTTACCCAAATATAGTAAGTTTCTCCAGAACCCAGTCTACATTCATGTGCTTCCGTTGTCACAGTCGTGATTCCTACAGAACAAAAACCAGGCTCGTCTCAAAACTCATGACTTATCAGTAATCTGGCACAAGATTTTGCACGAGAAAATTAGTCTGATGATTGAAAACTCCACTGATGTAAGCAATCTCCAAAAAACTGTGGAGAAATGGATACTTGCTCTCTCGAACTCAATAGCAGAATCAATCTTTCATGATTGTAACAGTGCAAAATTGGGCTCAAATTTGAAATACTTCGTATTGCTGAAGCCAGCACACGTAATTGTAGATATGACGTTACAGCTACTAATTTTCTTAAAAGTTTATACCTGTGGCTAAGGAAATCAGTTTTTCGTATGTGAACTTTGTTCATTGCATTTGCCTTGGAAGAGCTGACAGAACACAGCCGCAGGATGGCTGCAGGTTTTCCTATGATTTTTGTCTTGGTTATGTCTGTAGAATCTGGGTCCTGGAGGAAAAAGCCAATATAATTTTTCAATTATGAATATTACTTAATGCATTCTGGAAGATGAACAGGAATGTGGAATTTAGTGTTACACTATGTGAACTGATTTTGTTTTAAGTGTTGTAAGAACTAAAGAGCCATGGCTGGTGTAATGAGCGTATATGCAACCCTTGTGCTTTAGAAAGAAAGCAATAATGTTACAGTTGATGTCACTTGAAAACTTACAGAGGAAATCTCGAAACTGGCCTATTGTGCTAAAGTGTTTCCAAGGGAGGACTCTGCCCCTTAATTGCAACAGCAATGCGTATGTGTGTTCTGGAGGACCTTGATCCAAACCTTGATCCAAACTGCGGCCTCAATCTGCCCACAGCTGCACCTGTGTACTTTCTTCATATTTAACAAGCAAAAAGTATTGTTATCTTTCAGGAGTTACCCAGGAGGACTGGAAATCTGTGTGCTGTGTAGAACAGGGCCTATCATTTGGTTTGGGTGTTTTTGATAGCTCTGTTTCTGTAAGAGAAACTTGAAAAATCAACATATCATTTTTAATAAATTCCTGTATTAGCTGTGCATTTTCTATGCAACTTATGAGATTTTAGCAGGAAAGAGAGTACTGAGAGACTTCCTCACCTGCTTTTGATTATTCTTCATAGTTCATTCCGTCTGTGGTTTTATTCCCTTGCTTGAGACTGTGAGCTAAATCTTGTTTCTTTATTCAAATCAGGGTCCTGATCCTGTTTCTTTTTAAGTCAGTGACGGAATGAATTTTTATTCCAGTTTGCAGAGCCTGGACAGACACAGTCAGCTTTTTGGGGGTGTTGGGTTTTTAAATCTTCACAGTATTATTCTTTCTAAAGGAAGAAATTCTTACATGGTTAAAACTCCCACTGGCAAATGTGGTTTTGTAAGATAACAAGATACCATGCATCAGAGGTACATCAGAGGCCCACTGTAATTCTCCATGCATCCAGCCTTAGCCTGTAGTAAATACTGAGCATTTCAGGTCAATTTACTTCTTTTTCATTGCAAACTAAGTCAACTTGAATGACTTGCTTCTTGCTGCCACCTGCACGTACACAAGCATAGTTACCATGGATTGCTATGTCTCGGTAACATGTTACTCAGAGCACACTTGTCAGCCCTAAGACCAGAAGCTCTGGCTCATTTTATTCATTACGGAATGAAGTGCATGCAGGGGAAAGTCCCTCTCCGAACATGGGGAATGTTTGTAGGGCCCTCCATGTTTAGCCAGAAATCTCATTCCCACCAGCTGGGAGCTGCACAGGTGTAACTCTGGTGCTGTTCACAGAAATAAATTGGTTTCTCTGGTAAAATTGAAAGCAGAATGACACCTAGTAATTGCTAGAGGTCATTTTTAGTTTGAACTATTCTTACACTTACTAGTTGCTGCAACTGCAGCTCTGCTAATAGCAAGCGATTTCTGAAGTGGAAGAATTTTCAGGAAAAAAGGAGCGCCTTTCTATAATATAAGTTTAAAACATATTATTTATGTAAGTGTGTATTTTGGAAGATGGGTTTCAAAAACTACTATTCTTCAATACACCTCCAAAACCAACTTGCTTTCTGTTAGTAGAGGCCCAGGTGAAAAGAACACAAATTCAGTTTTGCTCAAATGCGAGTTTCTTTCTTTGTAATTCCTCTAGATTTACTCTGAGAGTGGTCCTCATCAACTGCAAAGGGATGTAAACACGTGCTGTGTTGGCCCCTCTGGCTCACTGCGAGCTGTGCTCCTGGAAGTTTTCAGCTTTTCATGGTTGCATATACCCCCATGGCACCCGCCTGGTGTGTTCTCAGTAAGGACTGACTGTATATGAAAAATGGACATATACAAATGTTGCTTTTTAATTGTTTGGCTTTTGGGTTTTTTAAAGTTTGAATGAATTGCCAGTGTAGGAGCCAGGTATGTATCTCACATTGTGGTGTTCTGGATCCTTTCACTCCGTGTGCCATTTTCTCCTAAGGGCAGCAGTGGCGGACTGGCTAATGGAGGATGGAGCTGAATTGTATTAATTCTATATTTGTCTCAGGGGATCAGCTCCGTGAATTCCATTGCATGAGGGAAGCTAATGTTTGCCCTGATTTGAATGTAACTTTTTAATGTCCTTTAAAAACTATTTTGTTTAATAATGTGGATTTCTTTTTCTAGCATTCTAGTAAATGTTACCTAGTGTGTTGGTTCATTTTTCCCCTCCAGGGTTGTTTATATACTACCCCAAGGTCATGCCAAAAAGTAATAGAAGTTTAAATGCCAAATGTTTATGAAACTGCTGTTTAAATACTGATTGATTGCACAGTTGAAATAAAAGTTTTCCTTAGTAAAAGTGCTACTTGTTAAATATTTTATTCTCAGTGTGTCTGACAAGTGGCTAAACCCAAGGGAGATGTAAGTGCAGCACCTCATTGGAGGCTGAGCAGCTAGGGAGGTGCTGGCACTTCATATCATAAAAAGAACATGCGTTATCATTGAAATCCATAGAACTTCCCAAAACATGTGTTCATGTATCATTTATATACCCGGAATTATTTCCCACCCAAAAACTCTGTCTGTGTCCCATCACTGTCAAACACCCATGTAAGATCTCTGTGTTGGTTTGTATTGCTGGGTGTGGAAGATGTGGTTCTCAGTGCAGTTGTTCTCAAGTCTGGCAAGCTGCAGTCCCGAATTTTTCCCAGCAGTTTTAGATCTGCCAACTGTTGAACCGAGTATTCTGGTGTGTGAGAACACTGTGAACGTGCCGTTGCTGTCGGTCAGAAGGCAAACTGCTGTTTTTACGCAGGACTGCGTTCTAGACAAGAGTCAGTCAAGTTAAATCAGCGAGGAAATGATGTCCTAGGGGGATTAAAAGGTTTCTGTTGCTAGCAAGTTGATTACTGATTGCCACTTGAAAGCAACTGAAAAATTGGCCAGGTGGTTTAGAGAGTTAGGTACAGAGCTGGATTTAGAGTAGTGCCCGTGCAAATCTTGCACTACTGAAAATGAGAGCACAGTAATCACTGCTGTTATTTACAGGGTCTCTAGGGAGAATAAAGAAAAAACAGCAACGGAATCTGAACTCTTGCAATACTTTGGTTGGTTTGACTTTGCTTTTTCATCTGTATTGTTCCCTGAGAGATTAGGACTCTTTGCTGGCACTGACTATGCATAATGGGAAAAAAAAAGCTATTTCACAGGTATTTCAAAGCTTTGAATCACAGTATTGGGAATTGAAGATTGGAAATAAATGTTCACTAACTTTCTTCTATGTCCAGGAAATGACTGTTCCTGAATACATTTATTTTTACTTCCAATTTTGACCCTCTTTGAGAGGCATGTGTCCTGTCATTTACAGGTGCCCCTCAGAGAGAAGGTGCTCTGTGAGCACCATGAGGAGACAGAGCCTTTCTGCCCTGGCAGCATCTCACACTGATGCTTCAGGCTGCCCAGGTTCTACACTAGAACCATTATGTCTGTTTTTCCTTTTGAATTCTTGGAAAGCAAAGGAAATCCAAAAAGCCTCATCATGCTTCTTTGTGAATTACAGCTGCTCTTACCTGCAGAGTCTATATATAGAACAGTTCTGCGTGGTTGGGTAGCTTATATGACATTTATTGCTGGGGGTATTAGAGCACCAGCTGTGGTAACTATTTATAAAACAAACTCTAATCCAAAATTCTTTCCTCCTTATGTTCAAATTTAGGAACACTGAAATATGGCTATTCAGAGGTAACTGAGAAAATATGACCAATGCTGAAAAAATAATACAGTATTTTAACACAGATACTGTAAAAAACAAGTAAATCTTACAAATTGTAAATGATTTTTTAAAAGATAATAAAGAATTTTGGATAGCCAGGACGTACTCGGTCTTGGACTGTCAGTGGTAAGAAAGCTCTACCAATGGAGTCCATCAGAGATGCTGCTCTCTCTCTCGGCAAGAACAGGAACCAGCTGCAGTTCCTGATTACGTTATTGCTGGTTAGTGTGGGTACATTTTACAGTCCAGTGTCCTCAATAGCAATAAATAAATACTGAACTCTCATCTTCCAAGGAGTTATTATTGTAAAAGAAAGCTTTAAAACTGCCCTGGTTGGTGACCTGATGCTGTGCTACCTGCCTGCATTCTGACACCAGTATGCACCAACTGAAATGACAGCATTGCTGTGACTTTGTTTAGTTTATCAGTGACATCTGTCTACAGACCTTGCTTACCTGTTTTTTGGAGGAAAGGACCAATACCTTGGAACTGCACTACAGCAGGTGAGCAGCAGTTCTCTGTGGGTTAATTCCTCTCCCTGTCATCCTTTCACTCAGCAGGTAAAATGGGCATCTGTTAAGAAGGGAGTCTGTGCGGCTATTTTGCTGCTAATAATGTGCAGAGCACCACACATTAAAGGAACTGACCCCAGCACCTAAACTGAGTACGTGCATCTTGAAAACCAGCCCAGTTCTCCACCAAATGTGGAGCTCTGGTGACAGCAGATTTGCGATCTCCTTTGCACATAAAGCCAGACTTTGCGTTTTGTTACAAATGAAAACAGACATCTGGTCTTCTTTCCTTTATTCTTTAAGTTATTTCATGTAATATTTACAAGTAAGTCCAGTTGGAATTTATGTTTGGGGGTGCATATGCATTTGTTATCAGTAGTTAACCTATGCTATCTTGTTTGTTGTTGTCATCTTGTCATGTTGTCATTGTTTAGCCCAGTGTGTGTCCCCTTTTTCATTCATCTGCAATCATGGTCTCAGGATTGGTGCTGGACTGCAGAGCATATCCTCTGTCATTAAGACAAGCTGTAGGTACTAATGCTGTTGTTGTCCGTGTTGCAGTGACCTGCTCTTTCTGTAATCCATGTATGAAGGCTTGGCTTCACCTCTCCTCCCCACACAATGAAGAGGATGGGTTTGAACCCTCCTCTCTGCAGATAACTGCATGCTAGAGCCCCAGGTAAAAGCTCAGATTTGACAAAGAGATACCATATTGTTTCTACATTAAAGTGGAAAGTAAGCTTTATTTAAAACTCATCATTTAAATCCTATTTACAGAGGAATGCCCCATTAAGACATACAGCAAATGCAAGAAATTCAGAATGAAAGACACACCATGTCTGGATGTCCCTGGTCTGTAGGATCTCCCTTGGCTGGGAACAGAGGTCGGGGGCTGGCAGATGTTTGGGTACCAGCTGCTCTTTCAGAGACTTCTGCCCTTACTGTCAGAACCACCAGCCAAGGTGGTTTTCCCGCAGTGCTGCAAATTGGTCCAAGTTCTTCAGGGTTACTCCGGATTGATGCTGAGTATCACTGGAAGTTGATGAGCACTCCAGGTGGGTCCA